ATTGACGTAACATGACGTACATACACTAAGTTGTTTACCTTTTAACGATCATCTAAACAATATAAAAATAAATGCTTGAAAAACACAACTCGCGTTTTATATATATGAATATGTATATAGATATAAGTGTATCCTCGTGTCGATAAGAGTGTGCTCACTTGAGCAAGTAAATCCTGATGCTGAGAAAACATATACATGTAAATGTATATACATCCGATAATCATAATTAATTTGTTAATTATGCAATATAAATTAAGGTGATTTCAAATAAAAATTTCCATAAAATGAATACTTGGTTATTACATTGAATTTGAATCTTTGAAGGATAAACGTTTCTTGTTTTCATTTAGATAAAATTTTCAATAAAAAACCCGTGTAAAAAAAAAATCGTCTTAAAATTGTCAAAATTTTCGTTCGTTTAAAATCTTAAACGTGACACAAACTAAGACTATTTTAAAATTCTTTTAAGATGCCAAAAAAAAAAATTCCGAGATTTTTTAATAATTATTTTGATTTTTTTTAAGACTATTTTAAGATTTTTTCAAGACGATTTTAAGATTTTTCTAAGACTATTTTAAGATTTAAGTTTGAAAATAATTTTTATATAGTCTTGAAAAATCTTAAAATAGTCTTAAAGAAATCTAAAAAAAAAAATATTAAAAAATTTTTAGGCTATTTTCAGATAACATCACAGTGGCAGCTCCGGAAAATTATTATGGAGCGTCTTTAAATTGTCTCAAAATTATCTCAAATTAGTCTTAAAAAAATCAAATAACAAAAAAAAAATTATTTTGAACTAAGAATATTATATTAAAGAATTATACACAGAAAAAAAATTTCTTGACTGGAGAACAAAATTCTTGGCTTAAGAAAATTTTCGGGTGCCTGAAGGAAGACCGAAGTTGTGTTGGTCGAAGTAAAAATTTTTCTTTAAATTCTATTCTTGTTGGAAGTAATTTTTTCTTAATTCAAATTATCATAAATGTTTGATACAATAAATTTTTATATTTGATCAAGATTTTTAGATACTTTAGGGAAGTAGCGCCACCCACTTCAGCTGGGAAAAAAATTTTCTCACCTCGAGAAAATTTTTCTCTTGAATATTTGATACCCATTTTATATTATTTTAGCGTGCAATTATACATATTGAATGAAAAAAAATGATGAAATATCATTTGATCTTTCCGTTTGACATGTTAATCAATAAAAATATTAATTAAAATTTACTTCTATCTTTATATTTAATTTTTTGGAGCAAGAGAGAAATTCTCTCAAGACAAGAAAATTTACTTCTATCAAGAACTGAATTTTTTGGAGCAAAAGGCTGAATTTTCTCAAAACAACAAAATTTTCTTGACTTAAATAAATTTTCTTGGGTCAAGATACGTATTTTAAATCAAAAGAATTAATTTTGTTGGAATAAGTAAAATTTCTTGTGTCAAAAAAAATTTTTTTTTTGCTCAAGAAAATAATTAGATAGAAAAATATTTTCTTGGTTCAAATTAACCTTTTTTTCTGTTTAAAATCTCGAATAAAAAAAAAATTCTTTCAATTTAATTCTTTTAAATTTAGACAAAAAAATTTCTTTTTAATTCTAAACTTGTTAAAATTTTGTTCTTGGTCCCAAATTTTTTTTTTTAATGTAAATCATTTTTTTTTTTTTTCGTAAAAACCGCTATTGACATAAAACTCATTCGGTATATGTATCAATAATATTAGCTTTTATTTCTCCACAAAAGTACGTCACATTTGATGTGTAACGTGATGACTACTTCAATTTCATATCACAATCAACAAAAATGATAAACAATTATCTTCACTACTAATATTATCACTTATCAGAATTATTATTATAAAGCATGATGTCAATTGATCCAACGTCACAGCGATCACTGACTTGTTAGCAAGTTTTTTTTTATTCAATAACAATTACTCTTTTATTTTTTATTAATTCAATTATTCACAACGTATATCATAAATTCTACGCACTTTTTGTTTATACGTCGTAGGAGGGTAGTCGATATTAATTAAATCAGGCAAATATGCTCTACACCCGGTGTGCGTGTAATAGTTTTGTTTATACATTACGTATTATTTATTGTGTGATAAAAATATAATTTAATAAATGTAATTAAAAGTTATTTCAAGAACAAAGCTTATATTTTATTTATGGACTAAGGATTAAAGATTAAAGATTAAGGATTGGATATTCTTGATTTTATTCTTGCAATAATGCAAGCGGATAATCTAGATTGTAATTATTAAAAATTACAATTACAAATTGATTTATTTTTAATTTAAATTTTTAAAAAATTATTATACAGCTCTAATAATTTTTTTAAATATGAGTATAGTTATTATATTATGTTTATGCAGATTACATTAGGCCTAAGCATCCGGTTATTACTCCTTAGTTCAGTAGAATATACCGTAAATTTATTTGTAAAACCCACTTGACAAACTGCTCAAACAACTATCCCAACTATTAATACTTATTATTTTATCGTTGATATTATTATTATAATTCTTATTATTAAAGCTAACGTTAGTTGTTTATGCTGATCTACAGTTATGTAATTCTAGTAAATTTATTTGTGGGACGATAGTCAATAATTATTAGTTATATAAAAGATTAATACAAGTTAGGACACTTCTTATTTAATAATTGTACATTGATTAACTTATTGTTAGATTCAATTTCAAAATTTTTTATTCAAAAAATAGTTTTTACCCAATGAAGTAATTTTCGGGGATCAATTGAATTTTTTTTTAGTATATAAAAAAATTTTTTTGGATTTTGGACTTTAACCTTCAATTAATTACACATAAATGATTTATTTTAATTAACTTATCTTTGATAATTGAGATACTTATCAATTTTCAGTAATCAATAGATTAAATAAAACTAAGATTAAAAATAAAAATATTTAAAAATAAAATTTGTAACTCAAATTTTTTAGCTAAAATTTTTAGAACAGAAAAAAGACAATTCAAAAATATTTTTTGTAGTGAAATTTAGTGTCACCGATAGTCAATTTATTATGATAAGTATTTAGGCTGCATTCGCAAATACTCTAGAAACATAATTAAGAAAAGACGTTGTATCTTGTGAACTATTGACATTTTTAAAGATATAAGCTCATCCCGATGTTACATTCATCAAGACCTTTCATTTGAGTACCCACGTCATTTTTTCATATATTTATATATATATTATATATATGTATATATGAAAATGCATGTGGGTACTCAAATGAAAGCTCTTGAAGAGCATAACATCAGGATGAACTTATTTCTTTAAAAACATCGATAGTTAAGCAAGTACAGTGTAATCTAACATAATTAAAAAACGATCTTGTATCTTGTGAACTATTGACATTTTTAAAGATATAACCTCACCCCGACATAACTCTCATCGAGACCTTTCATTTGAGTACCCACATCAATTTTTCATCTATTTATATATATTATATATATGTACATATGAAAAATATATCAAAATACATGTGGGTATTCAAATGAAAGTTCTTGATGACTGTTACATAAAAATGAGCTTACATCTTTAAAAATATCAATAATTAAGAAAGTACAGTGCAATCTAAGATAATTAAAAAACGGCCTTGTATCATGTGAACTATTGACATTTTCAAAGATATAAGCTCACCCCGACACATTACACTAATCAAGACCTTTCATTTGAGTACCCACATCAATTTTTCATATATTTATATATATATTATATATATGTATATATGAAAAATAAATCAAAATGCATGTGGGTACTCAAATGAAAACTCTTGAT